CATGAATACCACTGCTAAATAAGTTATTTAACGTTGCACTATAAATGCTTAAGATTTTGTTCTTTTCAGGTGTGATGACAGAAGACCAAAAACATTTCTAATGGAAACGGCTGATGCATTACTGTCATAAATGTTCTCTCAATGTGTATATATAGAAGAAGAACAGTGGGCTGCAATGTACTGCATATTCTGATAAAATTCACTTAACAGCTGAATAAGCGATCTTAAAAGCACCTGTTTCAGGCCTCTACTTTATATAATTATTTTGTTCACTTTTTGACTGCTCTTGAACTTGGCTGTTGTCTTGTTGTTTGTATTTCCTATGTGAAACTTTTATATTGGCAGAGGTCTTTCATAAGAGGTTGCTAACTCCCCTCTCCAAGTATTAATTGCATAATAGGCATAATTTGACATGATCAAAAATTGGCAACATCCCATACAGCAAAAGGTTGAAATAAATGGCTAATTTTCACTGTTCTGAAAGATTGGAGGTAGGATAACTCACTGTTCTGTAGCTCTGTACCAGTGAGGGTAAGCAACAAGATAATGGTATTTGTTGCCGATGACATTTTTTAGGTTGTGACCCTTTTCCAGGTACAATTAGGATAGGTGTGTAAGCAATATGACAGTATGTGAAATTCATTGTTGATGAAAAGAATGCACATTAGTTTGAAAGAAATGGTACTGTTCACACATCTGACAATTCAAAAATAACTGTCCAATTATGGGGATTGACCTGAGTTTCGCTCCATGTGAAAAATATGAATATACAGAAGGAATGAAATAAAAAAAGACTACTAAAACTTTACAGTGGAGTGGCCTTACCTATAAAGCTGATTTGAATCTGGTCACCTTACCTAGATTTATAAATATACACAACAGTTGTAATAACAGCCTGGCTTTGAGTATAACAGATTATAAAACTAATTCCAAAATTAATTCTCATGTAAGATACAGTATGTCTTTTTGTCTTGATTTAAAAAAAAACAAAACAAAAAAACCACACACCCCCCCAGCACTGAAGAGAACTCCAAACCCTGTCCTGTTAAAAACATGCTTCTTATTCCTAGTCTGGAGTTGGGTAGCTTCATTCTCGAAGCATTCAATCTTGTCACGTTCTCTGTGGCATTGAAGAACCCATTACTGAAATTTCATACTCTTTGTACACAGTTGCTAACTGTTTTCAAGTCACTGCTTAATTTTATCGTACTAGTGTTGAAACAGATTGATCTCCTTGGGTTTTTGATATAAGAGATGCTACCTACCATTCTAAACTTTTCTTGTGATTCTTCTCTAAACCCTTTCAGTTTATCAGCCTTCTCTAACTGGGGATGCTCTGGTTGAAAATGATATTCACATCTTATTTGCCCTTGTGCCAGATATAAAATTCAATATTCTTATAAATATACAGCTGGTCATCTTATTATCCCTTCAGTGTTGTTTTGTGTAACTCAGGAACAGCTGATTACCCATCATGGCCCTCAGGTCTTCTCAGATGTTTGGAAGGTCTCCACACAGCAGTGTGTTCAGTCATGTCCTGTGTTCGTACAAGAATGAATTTATATTTAACAGTATTATAAAATAAATCGTTTGCTTTTCAAAAGGGATATTATGGAACAGGAAAGACTTCACACAACAGTTGATGATAAATGGTATGAGACGTGGAAAAACTCATGAATGGAGCAAGAAGAGATTGCGATAGCTTTATGTTAGAATGGGCGCAAATAAGAAAATAAGATGAAAGCTGCTCATTTGTCTAGAAAAGATAGATACAGAGCTCTGTCTTTATAACAGCAGTAAAAAAAAAAGAGGGAGTTCAGTTAAACAGGCACACTTGCAACTGGTAAATGTTTTCATTTGAAGGGTGACCAGATTATGCAGTTTGGTATGGAGTGTCGTTGGTATCAATAGAAAAAAAACCCACCTCAGAGTGTTGATAAGATTATATGAATGATAAGAAAATCAGCTATTGACACAAAGGGTGTTTGGAAATGGTGAAGAAACTTATTTCAGAGTCTGAACCAAATTCAAATTAACATGAAATCTTAACTTCTGCCTAGTCTATTCTGAAGCATTTCCTTAATGTTGCTTAAGGCAGTGTGGGGAACTATATGAACCGAGAGTGACGAACCTAGTGCAGTTTTAACCCATTAATATTAGGCCAATCTAGCCTTGTAATAGAATATCAGCATTTAATATTCCCATGTTTAAGACTGAGCTAATTTTAGGCACAGAAAAGATTGGGTCTTGTGCAACGGGAGAAATGAATCATGAAAGCTTTTGGAGCCTTCTGGGCCATGTCACTTCACAAAGCAAGTGGGTTTTGCCAGTCTCAAAGTAGGTAACACAGCCCATTTTCTCTTCAGGAAATATTCAAAGAAGGGTTTATAGAGATTCTTTTCGGAGGTAAAATTAGAAACATGTAAGTAACAAGACATAAAGTAAATGGCTAGGTAATTCTTGGCTCTATACATGAGAGTACCTCCAAATGTGACAACAATAAAATTTACAGAACAATGGACAAACAAATGATGTAATAGCAATTTTAGTCATGTCCTGAATCAATCCTACTTATCTATAGTATTTAAGATGAATTCTACTTGCAACGGTGTTGTACCTGTTAGGCAGTTTCATAAAGGCACTATGTTTTTTATATAACATTTTGTCCCTTTACAAATTATCATGACGCATGTCAGGAGCTTTCACACTGAAAAAAATATGTCACATTAGCTTCCAAGTTTCTGATTGTCTAAATAACACAGTAACTCAACATACAGCTGTCTGGCATTTTGACAGTACAATAACCCATAATTCTTTCTGCCACTCAACACTTCAAGGTTAGCATTTTGTAGTTTGCCAAGGAGTATTAATTTAAATTTTCAAGAGGCAAAGAGTTGAATGCTGTCTTATACAGCTCTTTTGATTTATTTTTTTTTTACTTTTCTACTGTATTCAGTTTTTTTTAACCATATATATATATATGTGTATTTTATTTTTAACCTGCAACTTTCCAGGAGGTAGGATCTTCATCTACATCTCTGTTTTTCAGAATGTTGGTGGCACTGAATATTGACAGCAGAACTTCCTATAGCAGGAGTTTATCATCCAATCTTGGAAGCATCACCTCCCTTAGTATATTGCAGGGGACCATACCCTTGCTTAGTTACTGAGCAATTTCTTCACAGGAAAATGTGGAGTGAATCAGTGGCCTTTGGGAAGAGTTGCTTTCAATTCTGAACTTAAATCTTGAGATTTTGAGGCAAATGGAAACTTTGAAATTCATAATGAGATGTTTGAGCGAAGTCTTGTTTGTGAACTTAATGTGGTTTAATCTTGTTGGAACTGACTTGTAAATCAAACGCTGAATGTTAGGCAAATCCTGCAGTCTCATAAGCTCTCAGATACAGAGACTGAGTTCACTTGAGGTTTTAATAGCTCAGACTCCTCAGTGACAAAAGAAACGGTTTTTCTTATAACAGGAAGCTTCTGTTGAGAAAATGGGGATTAGTAAGTAATGAGAGGTCTACATAGTAATAATGTTAATATTGTAGATTTTGGTGCAGATAACATTTTAAATTTTTGGTGCAAGTTATTCCTTAGATAAGTATTCTGGCCTGCATTGATGCAAATCAGTATGCATGTCCAAAAACCTTCTACCGTGTCTGACTGAACTTCTTGCTAAAGAAAACACAGAAAGATAGGAGATGCTGAACTTCCACCTTTTTTGGAACAATCCTCCTGGGGCAAATTGTTAGAATTGTCCCATTAAGACAGAGCCCCCACCTATATGTACAGATTCATGGTTCAGAGGAGACACTGAGGCATAAGGCCAAGCGTTGTGTTATTTTTGCGAAGATCAACATACTAAAACTTGACATCAACGTGTCAGAACCTCAGAAACAGCAATGCTGTGGACACTAATTTTCTGGCTATTTTGAACTTAGGCTTGCAAGCCACACCATGTATATTGATGGTCACAATGATTACTGTGTTAAAAAATATTTAGGTTTTGTTATTAGAAAGTAAATAGGTTTTGTATATTGCAAGTGAATGAGGTAAAATACAAATATGCCATGATTTAGAGTACAGGAAAAACATTGTTTGTTATTAAAAAAAACCCCCAACTTTCCATGCATTCCCCCCCAAATATTCTCTGGCTATCAAGAATTAATTACAGCTTTTAAAGAGCCAAAACCCCCATGTATTACTAGCGTGTGTGTGCATGTGCAGAGTATAAATATGTCCTAGATATGCACAGGAATACATTAAGTGGATTTTTTTTTTCTTTAGTGTGATTACTTTTCATATGGTTCTGAGAGGAATATAATTCAATCTTTTAAGTCTTGGGAAAAGAGGGTGGTTTTTGAGCTCTTTAAAAGAGCAATTTGACCTGTTTTGACCAAAAGAATTGTCAGCAGCAAATCTGAATAAACTGGGGTGAAATTAAGAACTGTTTAAAATTCACTGTTGAGAAACAAAACAGCCTGTATATTACTGCCAAGTTCCTCCCGAACACACTTAAACTTTTACGTGATCACTCCTTTCTTCTCTTGTGCTATTTTTTCCTTTTGCTTCTTGAGCTGAGCTGGAAAAGAGAGGGCATACACTTAAAAGATTGAAGTGGTTAACTTAAAAAATAAAAATCCTTAATTAGTAGTGCAAATAACAGGAATACTATTCCAAAATGTGCCTGAATGCCTAGGTAAACACATAACAGTTGTTGTAAGGTAAGGCTTACGTGCAGTGTTATAACTTCTCAAGGCACAAAAATACATGTGTGGCTAGTGCCTTCTTCAAGGCGTAAACCCCAGCGGACAGTATGAAACATAGCTTAATAGAGCTTTATTGTGCTCCCTTTCCTTGTCCACCTTTGCTTTGTCTTTATCTCTTGCTGTCTCTCACTTGCTGAGTTCTTTTACTGTCATTCTTATAAGTTTTGATTGCTCTTTCTGTTGTTACTCTTTTGGACAGGCTTTCTCTCCCTCTGCATCTCCTCTTTATCTTCTGGGGACCATCATTTCTGCTTCGGGGTTTTCTGTTCTTTGAGCAATGTTTGTACGTGATGGAGAAGATGCTGGACCTCAGGATTACGTAAGTGACTGCGATGTGCATGTACCTGTAATCGCATGACAGATGATAAGCTGGATGTTGGGGCGTTTGTTAAGGGGGAGTAGAAATACTGCCTTGCGGCTAAAGAGCGTGTTCCTTATCAGGGCTTTGTCGATCACAGGGCTGCAGTAGAAAGCGCATAGATCCTGACTTGAGAGAGGGCCCTGTTGTGGCAGGTACAGCTGGTCAATGGGTGAAGCCACTGAGCCGTGCCTGACTTCCGACATAAATGGACTGAGAGAGGGGCCATAGCTGTTCACTGAAATCCATAAGGTACAGGTGGGAGGGGGTGGCACAAGAGGTATCTTGAGTCTTTTCAGAGGCCTCTTGCTTTTTGGATTTCTTACAAGATTTCTTCTTCCTGAATCTGGAAGATGCCAAGTGTTTTTTTCAGTTTGTGGTGTTTTACGTAACTTACTCCTTCTATTTTTGACTCTCATAAAGCACTTTGCCTTCTATATGACCTGTTTAAAATTTTGCATAGAATGAAGTAAATTTGTTCACAAATACGGTATTGAGAATGGGGGAAAGACCAGTTTTGTCTACTGCTGGGATTGTAGCTTGCAAATCTACAGGAATACTTTTGTTTAAAATTTTTGTTCAGAAGAGTAACAGCATGTTGCAAAGGGTACAACTGATGCACTTATTCAGCTCACCTGCCAAAACCTCCTATCCCATCAATATGTCATCACCATTTTGATTTCCAATACCTTTCAGATGTTTAAAAAACGTTTGCCTACTATTCTTATACTAAGCCTATATATTCGTTAACTCTGTGAACCTGTCACATCATGTATTGGAAAATTGATTATGAAAGCTGTGACTTAGTGTTTTGTGATGCACTTGGCTACCAAAAATAGGCTTTAAGAACCAGATGCCATAAGGAAAACAAAAATTAAAAAGGAAAACATTGGAGACTGTGGATTTTAAAACATATATAATTATATGTTTCTTGGATGCCTTTTGACTGATTAAACATAAAAATAAGATTGGAACAAAGCAAGCCTTTTAGTGTGTGCCTGCAGTTCCTCTTCTCCAAGTAATTGAATACAGGATTTCTTCTCTAACCCTGTTCCAGCAAGAATATGCACTGCTTAGGTATTCATTTCAGTGGCATTGACAATACTGACAATATAATTGACCTAAAAAGTTCTGGATTTCCTGTTAATGCACTTTAGAAATGTACATCAACTACAAAAAAATCATTTCTATCTACATTTCACTTGATTTCCATTTTCAAGAAAGGAGGTTTCATCATTATTATTCTATTTGAATAGCACTGATATCTTGAGAGATGGAAGGAGACTTCTATTGTATGCAGGAGTACTTTATTTCGATATTTTCTTTGTCTGATTATACATGATAAACACACATTAGTGACATTCCGTGCATGTTTTGAAGATAAATGGGATATCTCTTTAAACCATTCCTGACACTTCCTAACCTGTGGGCTTAATGGCATATTCTTTCTTTGATTCAATAATTTGTCTGTCAAAAAAGCTGTGCTGACATTCTCGTTGTTGTGGGACTGAAATGGAAAGAAATCTCTTATCTTTAAGATAATTTTTGAAAAATCGAGGCGAACATTTTAGGATAAAAATGTTTTAAAAATGATTTCAGTTGGAAAAAAAGATGTAAGTGTTGACATTATACCAACTGCTAGATGGCAAGTGATAAAAGGAAGAATGTTATCTAAAACTGTAAGTCCCCTTGAATTAATTAGGGAATGTGTGAAATCTTAGAAATGAAGACAGTTTCTACTACTATGCCTGCATAAGTATTTCTCGTTGTTGTGGGACTGAAATGGAAAGAAATCTCTTATCTTTAAGATAATTTTTGAAAAATCGAGGCGAACATTTTAGGATAAAAATGTTTTAAAAATGATTTCAGTTGGAAAAAAAGATGTAAGTGTTGACATTATACCAACTGCTAGATGGCAAGTGATAAAAGGAAGAATGTTATCTAAAACTGTAAGTCCCCTTGAATTAATTAGGGAATGTGTGAAATCTTAGAAATGAAGACAGTTTCTACTACTATGCCTTGCATAAGTATTAGTTCTGTCAAATACCTAGTAACTTTTAAAATAATGGACTATAGATGTAGCTAAAAGAGTCTGGTTTGCCAAACCTACGTCTCTTCTCTGTATAAGGCAAACATTAATATATGCATGCACACATGAACATGTACTTGTGTATGCATATTGTCTGTGTATGTATCGATACTTACGTGAATATACGGGTACACTGTCTATCTAAAATAATCTACTTGGGATATTTTATTCACAGAACTGATGTAGAGAGGATTAGTTCAGACAGGCTATGCAGAACCCTTTCGTTTTTCTTAGCACAGTCCTTTCTAAGGTGCTGGTGTAATGTGGAAAATAAAGGGCGTAAGCTCTGCGTGAAACAAAAATTGTGTCTCCTCAGCCCCCTAACTCTCCAGTTTTAATCTGACCGAGTAACACAGAACGGTATCAGAAGCCAAGGGTTCAAACAGTATTACATTATTGTGGAAGCTGCTTTCATGCTTTGAAAGTTTTTGCTTGAACCTTGTGAGCCGGGTCTGAGTTCTGTCTGCTGGGCACGCCAGTTTTACTTACCATTTTTTAGGGGCATGACAGATGTAGCAATTGTAATAGTTTTAAACTTAAAATATTATGCTTTTATGAGAGGTAGTTTAGGCAATAGGCTCCACAAGAGAATTAACTAACTCCGAGCGTTTGATTAAACACTCAGGTCTTCCTTCTTCATTGTTTTCCCTGTGTTCCATTTTGCCAATGAGCACTCCTCAGCGCTTTTTCCAGAGCTGAGGATTCCTCAGAGCTCCTGTCAAATGTGCCTCTGGCTGGATGGCTGACTAACAGGGATTGATCTTGCACAGGGTGTCTGCCTTAATTTGTCTTTCCCGATGATTAGTCTTGTCCGTTTACGTTATAATTGTGAAAGGCTGACCTGGTGACTGTAGCCTGTAAGTTATGATTTGAGGCTGAAGCTCCTTGGTTCGCAGTGCTTGCAGGGGCTGGAGAGCTACAATGTGTTTTGAGACGCTTGTCACCATGGTAGAGTTCAGAGAACTTGGGTGGTTTAAATATATCAGCCAACCAGCAGACCTGCTGGCACAGTATGTGGAATTGATAGGGAATGAGCAAAAGTGAGGCAGACCTGTTGGGAATTGGGAGAGAGAATAACAGAATTATCAGGAGTCCTCCTTTCCAAGATTCATAACAAGTGGAGTACTCAGACTCTTACCTAACCATGCTCAAAGGCAAAGAGAGAATATAGTTTTAGCAACAGACATAAACAAGATGAAAAACCCCTCCCTCAAATAATTCTTACCCTGGAAAAAACCCCACAACCAAAACCAAAAAACACAAACCTAAAAAAGATGCAAGGGCTATGTTGGGTCTAAAGGAAAGCAGGGAGTTAAAAATCAGAACACTGAAATGAACTTAGTTTGAGTTAAAAATCAGAACACTGAAATGAACTTTGTTTATGCACTTAGAGTTTGAAACTTGTCTATCCTGTAGCTGCCACCATTGTAAATTCTAGTTATGGTGCTTTCTAGATCACCTCTGACACCTATTGCGGGGAGCCCTTTGGTCACTCTCAGCAGAAAGGTATTCTTCCTATGCTCGCATGGTTGAATAACGGTTCTTGAGATGTTCTAGGGGATAGCTATCTTGGGGTCTAATCAAATAATTTACAATATAGCTGTATTTAGAAATCATGAAATGTGTATTGGCAGCTCGATAGTCTATTAAAGTTTACGCAAATGTCTCAACCCGCTAGTAGCATTGTTCTTGAGTGTAAAGTTATCAGGTGTGCTAACATGCTCTCAATTAGTCCTTTTGTTGTACTACGTGATATATTTAAAATTGGAGGGTATTTTCAGGAAAGATGTTTGCGGATGTCTTACTTTTAAAAGGCAAAGATGGGTTTTCCTAGTAGCAGGACAGCATCTAAAACCTGTGGTCCTATTGTGAGATTTCATTGGCTGATTCTGAAATTATTCATAGACTTTTGGGAAAGCACAGTGTCATATTTACATATGCTGTGACTTTTCCTTCACAGCTCTTTTTCATCCTGATGCAATGAAGTCTAAGGTCTGAGTAGTTTGGGAAAGTGTGTTACAGATGTGATACCTGGGAAAAAGGTGGTAGCTTGCTTTCTTGACAGTGGTGAAACTTGTGCACAAGCTGAAAAATCTAATTCAGCATGCTATCAGCATTAATAAGCAAATGTTTACATTTTTGAGGTCTGACATCACAAATGTTAATCCTTAAACCTGGACTTCACAGTTAAGCAGCAAAATTTGCTGGTAGATTGATATTTAGTTGAGAATTCTTTTAATAATAGTAACTAAGGTTAGGATCAATGTAAATGTTATTGTAAGCTTATCTATTTTTAATCTTTTCAGTCTGAACCAGAACCGGTGGTGTTTAGTTACCATCAGTATGAAATAGTAGCACTTTGTATATTAATGTCCTCTGGAATGAGACAAAAGCTGTTGATCTGATTGCATATTAAACCTTAAGCTATTATTGCAGCAGTGTTAACAGATTCCATTGATGTGAAACGGCCTGCGTAGGGTTGACTGATCTGTCTTTGCACTAACCAACTGATGAAGTATTCAAATAAAATGATCACTCATAGATCCCTCAAAGAAGGAGTGGGGGAAAGAAGGGGGAGGGGGAGCTCCACACAATAAACAAAGCAAAGGCACTCAATCCTTTTCAAAGACTTATAAATATTTAATAATCATCTGTCTACGGCCAATCTAGAAAAAGAAATCTTTAAATAGACTGTTCTAAAGGCCAAAACCTGAATTTTAATTGAGGCGGTTCGAAGTACGCATTAGTTAGTCTGGCTTTTCCTTGGATGTAAAGGCAATATTTTCCTGGGGCAGGGTGCGAATCTTTCAAAATGTAGCTATAACTGTAGGCAGATTTGGATTTTTGGTGTGGCAAAATAATGCTGCATGAG